TCTCCCAGATGGCAGGGCTTGCGTGGCTTATGTGGCCGCCGCCTGATGAGCTGCAGCCGTGACCGATCAGCCTGTGATGAGGACGGCCACGTGTTCCTTGCTTGTTTCCAGGGCGACGCTGATGAAGCTTCGGGACGCTCGTCACAATATATATATGTATTTAATGTGCTGGTGGTTATGTGTGTATAATCCTTCTGTGAGAGTTCTTTGCAGTGTTTTTCAGGGACCTGTGTGTTTACTATGAGCATGCTGCTTCCTATCGAGCGCCCGGGTTCGCTCCGTGGGCTGCTCTCGTGGTAATATTAGCAGTGCTCCCCTTTTACCAAAGGGTTGCCTATGAGCGCGCTATTCCTTCTGAATTCGGAGTTCTCCTCTCACGTGAGTAAATTTTCCTTCATTGGTCAGCAGGAGGCGTTTATCTATGTTTATTGTGAGATGTAGTAACTATAGCAACCGCGGCGCCAATTGCTGTATGTTACCAGGAACTACCGTGAAACGCTTAGTATAAACACTTAGGTAAGGGTGACAGTTAAGATGTTTGTTGCAACGCTCTTAAAGAAATCCCTTACCTTAGGGATTTTTCCCCCCTCAGGAATACCCCTAATGCCTCGCTCACACTACAGGATTTTTATCCCGATTTTGCCCCGATTTCCCCCCTCCCGAGAATCGGAGCAAAAATCATGTCGAGCACCTCGATCGGTCGGATGTTCGGCGCGGATTATCTGATAATGTGAGGCATTCACCGATCGAATCTTGCACCTCCCGATCTGCTTGCACACAAATCGGGGCCGCCCCGATCATATCAAACATGTTTGATATTTAGGATTTAAATCGGGATGATGACGGCTTTGATTACGTCAGTACTTTCACAATAGCCAATACGAAACAAGTCTACGAGGAGACGGAAGTGACGAAAATTTTGAAATGGCGACCGCGAAACCTGTTGTACGTACCCGTTGGACTTCGGAGATGGAGGAGCAACTTGTTGAGATGTGGCAACAACATGACTGCCTATTTAATGTGTCATCAAAGCTGTACCACAACCGTAGCGATAAGGAGAAGAGCTGGGGAGAAATCGCGTCGGTTTTAAACGTACCAGGTGAGTATTGAAAGCTGCTAGCGCTGACAGGCTAGCAAATGTAAACAAACTGTTGAAGCATCAGTGACCATCTGCTACATGTCTATCAAAAGATAAGGTAGCAATGTATCAGTATCAAACGTCCACCCCCCCCCCCCTTCTCAAACACTCACACAAACACAATCCCCTCTCTCTCACACACACTCACACAAAGACAATATCCTCAATCTTTCTTTTACACACACACACACACACATAAGTTACAGTCCACTCTCAACAAAACATAAACTACATCTTTATGAGCTCTATAATTGTTTGTACATTTTGAGAAAAAATATTTCAAGGGACATTAAAAGTTTATTATAGTCCAGTGGTTCTCAAACTTTTTACACCAAGTACCACCTCAGAAAATATTTGGCTCTCCAAGTACCACCATAATGACCAACATTAAAATACAGTAGTAGGCCTAACTATTCAGCTACAGCTCTGCACAGTTCAAAAACGAGGCAGTTTTATCCTAATTAGAATATTTATTGTTTTTAGCCACTTTAACATTGTAAATACACAGTTTGAACATTAACACTGCACAGTGCTTACAAACAGGTAAAAAAAAAAAACTTAATGATTCAATTAAAATGTGTTGTAACTAAAAGTACAAAAAACTGTACTGTACTTAAATGTAAAAAGAAAAAAAAGTACTCAAATAAAGATTTAATTAAAATATATTGTGTTTTAACATCAACTTATATTTAATTTAGTGATTCCTCTGCGTACCACTAGAGGGAGCCTGAGTACCACTAGTGGTACTCCTACCACACTTTGAGAACCACTGTATGTAGCCCATTTATATTTTAATAATATTAATTCAGCTGAATGTAGAGAGGAGACTCTGAGTGTCAATGTATGTGTATTGTATATTTTCAGTGGAAGACGTTAAGATGAGAGCAACAACCTTAAGGACTCAGTTCACAAAACTTCTTAAACCCAAACCTAGCAGTAGTGGAGAGAAAGGTTTAACACAGAAACAGAGATGGCTTTTAAGCAGCTTGGAGTTTCTTAAGAAACATGTTGCCCAACGCCCCTCTGAGACCAGTGTAAGCATGCAATATTATGGACAGGCATGACTTGTGATATTGTGTCTTTTATAAGTACTGTAGTAGGCTTCATCATGTATTCACCTTTTTCCTACACTCATGATGTTTTGCATGAATTATGGGAGTACCTTGTGTTAAACTGTAAATAATCAGTGATGTGTTTTAAAAATGGGGTACAATAAGGTAGCATTATTCTCCTCAGTTCAACCATCAAATATTAAAAAGAAAAATATTTAGATTTAACAAATTACTTTCAGCAGACCTAAAATTGCTGAAATTTGGGGCAGTTGTGGCCTAATGGTTAGAGTCGGACTTAACCCAGAGGTCACGGATTCGAGTCTCGGTACCAGCAGGGATTGTAGGTGGGGGGAAGTGAATGACCAGTGCCACTTCAATACTCTCTTCACCTTCAATACCACAACTTAGGTGAGACCCTTGAGCGAGGCACCGAACCCCCAACTGCTCCCTGGGTGCTGCAGCGTGTGCACTTGGATGGGTGAAATGCAGAGCAAATATTCAGTCTTTCCACAGCAATAATAAGAAAATAATCTGGAGGAAGAGAACACAGTGAACCCTTTTGAATGGAAGTTTCCCAAACCTGAAGTGCAACCCATAATTTAAAATGCAATAGGCACATTTGGAAAAAGGTGGATAATTATTGGGACAATACAGTGAAATGGTTATACAATTGTTTTGGCAGTACTTTGCTGATAGATGGATGGATAAATGTTTGTAAACCTCACTGACATAAAATCATTTTTTTAGCTTGATCAATCTGTGAAAGACTTACTGAGTGAAGGACAGGACATTGATGACCCCACCAGTGATGAAGACATTACAGATACATCTGAGGCACTAGGTAAAATCATAAATGTAGATGTACAAATCTAGAGACAATGACTTTTCATGCATTTTAAATAGTCTAGTTCTTCTATCATTCATTATTAGGATTTGTGTTTATACATGTCACTCATACATCACTCACTGGGGTGTTGGGCAACATGCTTCTTGAAGAGCTCCAATTTTCTCAACAGCCAAATCTGTTTCAGTTCTCATATTATTACATACCATGTTTGATCATAATAATTCTAGTCTGTTAGTACTGCACAGGATGGGTTTTAAAAAAAAAAACTTTTTTTTTTTAATAAGTCAGATGATTTTCGGATAAGGTAGCAATTCATCAATATAAAACATCCACAAACTACACACACATCACACGTGAACATGGCCATTGTCAGAACAATAGAAGACTACTTGCAAAGCAGGTCAGGAGCAATTCATGTGATTCACATTTTTTTTTGAAAACCTTCAAAAGTTTACATAATTGATTCTTAATGCTGTGTGTCATTACTTGCATTGTGGTGCTTTCTTGAGTATCAGGGAATGTGCAAGACCTGAAGGATTTTTCTGAAGAACATTGAGCAGTTTAACAAACAAGGCAGTTATATATATATAAAAAAAACAAAAACAAAAAAAACTGTTGTAGATCATGCAAGTGACGACATAGTATTAAGAATCAAGTATCAAGCACAATGATAAAAATTAATTATAATTAAAAGTTTGCAAATACTTTGGCTGTATGCAAAAACATACTTTGATTGAAGTTATTCTAATAATGTTATTATAATTTAATCTTTTATCTCAACCATAGGACCACATACCTCTACCCAGCAAGAGGGTCAAGACCACTCCTCCCTTTTTCCCACTCCCAGGCCTGCTTTAAAACGCCGAAAAGCTGACACAGACACTGTTGAACAACAAAAACTGAAGCTGTTACAACAGATGTCTGCTTCAGTTCTGGCCTCCCCAGATGCCTGCAGCTCTTTTGGAAACCAGGTTGCTGTGGAGCTCAGGTTAATAAAGAATACAAGCCTACAGACCAGGGTAAAAAGAAAAATAATGAATGCTTTGTTTGAGGCCCAGGAGGCAGACCAATCTAGTTCCTCATCATCCTCACACATGCCACCACCCATATATTCACCTCTCACACCTACACAAATGCCCACCTCAACCCCTCTATACACACAGACACCTCAACACTACCATCAGCACATGCCCCCTCAGGGCCCTGTTCAGCCTCAGAACTTTTTGAGGATGCTAGAATTGGAAGAGTAGTTGCATATAAAAATGCTGTACGTTATACACATTCACACATTTTCACATACACATTATTTATAATTTGTTAATTGGTTACTTTACTCTCGTAATGTATATATATGACAATGGCAATTTAAGTTGCTGTTAAAACTGTTGTATGTGTTGTTCAAAATGAAAGTTTTGTATGAATGAATGTTTTAAAATATTCAGTTGGCACTTTAATCCTTTATTTTGGAAATACTTGAATAAACAACTGAAATGTGATCATGAATGCTGTCTTTATTAAAAAAAAATTGTTATAATAGTTTAAAAAAATGTAAAATCTCATCAAAATACAGTACAGCAGAATCAAATAGTACAATATTTTAGATCACAACCAACAAATCAATCAACAAAGAAAAATACATATAAATAATGTAATATGATAACTATGTACATTACATACATCACAAAACTACAACTAGCAAACACTTCTTTTTGTCCATTGTCTAAATGTATTTTTCTTGCCATGGCACCTGGCCAGAAGGTGACACAAAGTAGTCTTTTAGGAGGTCACGTTGCTGCTTAGCAGCAAGAGTAGGGTTCCGTGACCTTTCAGCTGGCACACATTGCATGGCCCCCAGACCATCTCTCCTCCATGCTCCCTCGTTGACTCTGTGGTCTACATCCTCCCAGTCTGCCAGTGCTGGTGTCATGTAGGCCTCTGAACGGTGATCACAGAGGAAGTTGTGGAGGCATGCTGACGCTAGGGTGATCTTGGTGACACTGTCTGGGTGAAGCAGGATTGTGGAGCGGAACACTCTAGACCTATTGGCGAGAATGCCAAATGCATTTTCTACAACTCTGCGTGCCCGTGAAGCCTCTCCCTGGCCGTAATTGCCCGCCTCATCTTGGTGTCCTGTCGGGTGATCAGTGGCTCTGCTCTCCCTAGCAGGGTTGCAAACTCATCTGAGGTCATCCGCAGCAGTTCCCTGAAGCCTGACCTGTCCTCCAACTAACGTTATACATGAAAGCAAAAATCAACATTTTAAATAAGCTTACCCTTGGTTTAGCCATATTTATTTATAAACATACCCTTTACATAGCCATTTTGAGTCTCTCTAGTAATAATAACAATACTAATAATCGCTTTTTGACCATCGCTCCTCCATGCTCCCTCGACTCTGAGGTCTACATCCTCCCAGTCTGCCAGTGCTGGTGCCATGTAGGCCTCTAAATGGCGATCACAGAGGAAGTTGTGGAGGCATGCTGACGCTAGAGTGATCTTGGTGACACTGTCTGGGTGAAGCAGGATTGTGGAGTGGAACACTCTAAACCTATTGGCGAGAATGCCAAATGCATTTTCTACAACTCTGCGTGCCCGTGTGAGCCGGTAGTTGTAGACCCTCTGGTTGTGGTCCAGCTGCCTGAAGGGGTAAGGTTTCATAAGGTCTGTTCTCAGAGGATACGCCTCATCCCCCACAAACATATAGGGTAGCACAATATCAGAACCGGGAAGCTTTTCTGGAGGAGGAACATTCAGGAGACCCTGATCCAGTGCTTTCTTCAGATCAGAATGGGCAAAAAGCCCAGCATCTGAGACCCTGCCCTGAGTGCCAACACTAATGTAAATGAATTTATAATTGGCATCTACAGCTGCCATCATGAGGACTGAAAATCTGCCTTTATAATTGTGCCACATACTCCCACTGAGGGCTGGGGGCTGGATATAGATATGTTTGCCATCAAGGGCACCCAGACAATGTGGAAACTGCCATTTCTCCACAAAGTTCTTGGCAATTGCTTGCCATTCCTCTTCTGATTTTGGTGTCTGCAAATATAAAAGCAACTATTAAATCTCAACCTGTACTGAATTTCTAAATGAATTCAAGTCACCCCCCCCCACCACACACACGTTTTTATAACCCTACTTATCCCACCCATTTCAGCATGAACTAAATTGTACAATCAGTTCTCCCCAGTCAAGCATACTTATAAATGTAGTTTGTCATTATGAACTATGCTGCTTATCTTCATATTTGTACATACTGTATGTCAGAATTTTTGCTGTTGTGATACTAATGATAAAAATTAAGGATTTCTAACCTTTAGATAATAATTTTTCAAGACATGATGTAGGGCTTCACATGTGTGTTTCACTATATCAGATACAGTAGTAGCCCCAATTCTGTACTGAAAACTCAGTGATTTGTAGGTTTCGCCTTCAACAGAAGAAAGTTGACATTACTGTAAAATGAAAACATAAGAGACAACCCTGTACATTTGTTATATATACAAACCTGTTGCCAAGAATCTGAGGGTCAAGGAGAGCCTCTCCCTGGCCGTAATTGCCCGCCTCATCTTGGTGTCCTGTCGGGTGATCAGTGGCTCTGCTCTCCCTAGCAGGGTTGCAAACTCATCTGAGGTCATCCGCAGCAGTTCCCTGAAGCCTGACCTGTCCTCCAACTAACGTTATACATGAAAGCAAAAATCAACATTTTAAATAAGCTTACCCTTGGTTTAGCCATATTTATTTATAAACATACCCTTTACATAGCCATTTTGAGTCTCTCTAGTAATAATAACAATACTAATAATCATAAGTATAATGCAGATATAGATAGACAGATAGATAGATGGTGTGAAAGAGAGAGATGATTGTGTGTGTGTGTGTGTGTGAGAGAGAGAGAGCGAGAAAGAGAAAGCTGTAAACAGGTTTTAACAGAGAGAGAGAAAGCTGTAAACAGGTTTTAACGTTACATTCAGTGAATATTTACTGGTCACCACTTTTACAGCTACACGGTATACACAATCCTAATCAGTCCTGTTGCTTAACAGTCACATATCCTGTCTCTATATTAGAATATGTAGACACTTGTCTTTATAATAGACATTTCATTCTCATTTTACAGCAGAGATCTACACTGCAACAGGTGACAATGTCGCTTTTGAACTAGCCAGCCATTAACGCTATAACGGTAAAAATTCTAGCACACCACCATTAACAGATAGTAATACTTGTAACGTTAATTCTTACCTCCAATTCTCGCTGAAGAACTGGCAATCCATGTTGACCACGTCTCCCCAACCATTTTCTCATCCACAATCGTTTGCTCTTCCGCTTTAGTTTTTTCTCGCTACAAACAATCAGTATTGATACAGCAAGTGTCCCGCTACAGTATCCATTTTGTTTACATCCGCTTTTCCGCGTCTCCTCTAGATCACGTGTGGCGCTCCCTCTGGCATGATAATCTTAATAATATCTTGTAGTGTGTGAAGCACCGCGATTTAAAAATCTTGTAGTGTGTGCATGTTTAAGATTTGAGGGAAGATAATCTGCGAAGATTCTCCTTATGTGTGTGCTGCAGCCAGATTTTATAATCGGTTAGGATTTTTAAAATCCTGTAGTGTGAGCCAGGCATAAATCAGATTACTTAAGGACTTTCATGCAACCGGGCCCAGGTCTTCTTTGCGACCCACACTTCCAATCTCATCTCCTTAATTGGCTCCAATTAGCTTTTAATGAAGTCGTAGCACAGATGTTCACTTACTTTTTCCAGCCTGCCCTGTCAATGATCAATTAGTGTCTTCAATAAAATTATAAAGGGACAGCTGTTTGTGTGTTATCAGTCAGATTGTATTTGTCTATAATTGTGACAAATTAAGATCATAAACATGCCGCTCTATATATCTCTATAGCAAATGGACATAAGAGTTTATATGACCTTATACGGCTCAAGTTACAAAGCTCAGTGATCTTATTGGTTTATTCGTTGGGGGAAAAATAGCTCAGCAGCTAGCCCAAGTTAGGCCTATTTCCAAAGCAGTCGGAATGGACTCAGATAACCTCACAGCTGTGCAATGTAGGCCATTTGTGTTAAGACTCTGGGCTTCAGCGGTCAGTTCCCATTGATTGGATGCTCTGGCACAAACTCTTGATCCCTGACACAATTCAACACAAGTCAAACTGTTTCTTCTTGCACAGGATAAGCCATTAAAGCTAGATGTGAGCTGTAGTTTAAGATCAGCACTGGCGCTTACAGAGTAAACATGTGCTTATGGATAGCAGCTTGATACAGTTCGGCCCTGCGGGACGGGGCTCATGTGACTGGGGCACAGGCGCATCCGCACCTCCATCAACTGACCGTCTTAAGGTAAAACTCTTTAGTTTGCTTATAGACTAAGTATATGTGGTAAATGTGTTCTTGTAAGTGTACTCATCTTTCAAGATGTTGCCTATCATATCTTTTTCCCATTTGAATGCTTTAATTTAGAAGTTAAACCATGTTAATTCATACCATGGGCAAAATTGTAATCATTCAGTTATGGTATCTGTCATCATTTGTGACCCTGGACCACAAAATCAGTCTTAAGTCGCTGGGGTATATTTGTAGCAATAGCCAACAATACATTGTATGGGACAAAATTATCTATTTTTCTTTTATGCCAAAAATCATTAGAATATTAAGTAAAGATCATGTTCCATGAAGATATTTTGCACATTTCCTACCGTAAATATATCAAAACTTAATTTTTGATTAGTAATATGCATTGCTAAGGACTTTATTTGGACAACTTTAAAGGCGGTTTTATCAATATTTAGATTTTTTTTGCATCCTCAGATTCCATATTTTCAAACAGTTGTATCTCGATAAATCTCAATTTCAAACAATTGACACTTAAGACTGGTTTTGTGGTCCAGGGTCACATTTGATACCATCACTGTACTGCCACAGTACTTTTTTGTAAGGGCATTACTTCAAAACATATCATAAAATGCTTAACAGACCATTAATACATTTTCTGAAATAATACATGAAGTATATTTTTCATATAGTCATTATTCATGTATCAATGTACCTGATCTCAACAGTATATCATTAATGATTTGTTGATTAAATGTTATTATAAAGTTAACAGCTGCAGGAAAGTGATGTAATTAAATCACAGGGTACTTAAAATCTTATGTAATATAAAGTAATATAACAGCAATATAAAGACATTTTAAGTTTGCATATAAATATAACCAGAAGTAATCACACATTGTGGTTTATTTAATCCATGAGAGTTT